GAGAGAGAGAGAGAGAGAGAGACAGAGACAGAGAGAGACAGAGAAAGAGAGACAGAGAGAGAGAGAGAGAGTATAGGTAGGTCAGAGGACACCTTCAGGTGGTGTCCCTCAGGCACTATACACCTTTCTTTTGAGACAGTCACTCACTAGCTATGTTGGCTAGCAGGCGTACCCTTGGGATCATCCTATCTCTTTCTCTCCAGTAGTGAGAATACAAGCACGCTATATTGTCTTTTTTTTTTTTTTCATATGGGTTCTGGGACCAACCTCAGGTCCTCATGTTTGCAAGGCATTTATTTTATTTTATTTTATTTTATTTTATTTTATTTTATTTTATCTTTTTTTATTTTATTTTATCTTATTGGTTTTTCAAGACAGGATTTCTCTGGGTAGCCCTGGCTGGACAGTCCTGGAACTTACTCTATATACCAGGCTGGCTTACAACTCAAAGATCCCCCTGCCTCTACCTCCGAAGTACTGGGATTAAAGATGTTCATCACCACCACCACCAATCTAGTTAGCAAGACACGTTGCTGACTCCTGGCCCAGCAGATGAGTTTCTCAGGCTGTAGTTCAGAGAGAAATTTGGGCTGTTACAAATACCTTGTTGTTATTAAAAATGTAAGTGACCTGGGCATGGTGGTTCATACCTGTAAACCAAGCCCTTAGGTGACAGGAACTAGGAGATTGCAGCAAAGAAGAGGCTAGCCTGGTCTACATAGTAAATCTGAGACCAACCAGTTACATAGGGAAATCTTGTCTCAAACAATCAAATAACATTAACAAAAATAGTTATTATGGAGAGTCAGGGGCAAGGCAAATTTTTGGACAGAAGGTCAAGAGAAGAGGGAATGAGGGTCAGCAAAGGTGACCAGAATCAGTCATGATGTAGGAAAGATACCAAACCATGAACCTCCCAAGAGTAGTGTACTTAAGGTAGGCAGTTTAATGAAGACTAGTGGTGTATTTCCAAAGTCACTACTCTACTTGAGTGGTTACCCTGAAGTTGTAGCGGGGACTCCCATTCTATGGCCTGCGGCTTTGGTTCCAGAAGAAAATTACAGTTTAAGTGTGATTATTCTCTTGGATGGCTCGTGTGAGCCAAGCTGGCCTCGAAACTCACTGTGTAAATGAAGATGACCTTGTGCTTCTGCTCCTACTGCCTCTGCCTCCACTCCTGAGTGCTGAGAAGACAGGTGTGCACTACGACATCTGGCTATTTGTCCTAACTGCAATCGGAGTCCAGTATGGTTTTATTATGATTAGAGGCCATGTTTCTATTACAGGGTATCTAAACAGGCAGTTAGAGCTCTCAGATACTCAGCACTAATTCCAAACAACACAAGCTATTAGGTTGCATCTCTCCCTGAATACTGAATCCTTAAGAGAATGAATTAGAAGCCACCAGTCTTAAATGTAAAATGAAGTAATAATGAACTTCAACAAGATGGAGATAATAACATTAAACAATTCCAAGAGGCCACTGTGGTATGAATCCTCTCAATCTTAGCACTTTGGAAGCCAACACAACTGTGAGGTCAAAGTCTTCCTGGGATACTGTCTCAAATGAGAACAAAAAAAAAATGAATTGCAGAAGTAATAATCAACAGGTAGAGCTGGGCAGTGGTGGTGCATGCCTTTAATATCAGCACTCAGGAGGCAGAAGCAGGTGGATTTCTGAGTTTGAGGTCAACCTGGTCTACAGAGTGAGTTTCAGGACAGCTGAGACTACACAGAAACCCTGTCTTGAAAAACCAAACAAAGTGTTGGGGAATGTCTTTCTGTACACTGTGAATGAGTATTGTTCCCACTGATTAATAAATGGACTTGCTTGACCTGTGGCAAGGCAGCTTATAGGCAGGCTGGAAATCCAGGATAGACACGGGGAAAGGGGAGAAACAGGCAAAGAAGAGATTGCAGCCTGCCACCCAAGGAACAACATACCAGCAGATCAGTAAGCCATGGAACACGTGGCAAAGCACAGATTAATAGAAATGGGTTAATTTAAGATATAAGAGCTAGCTAGCAAGAGGCCTGCCATAGACTATACAGTTTGTAAATAATATAAGCATCTATGTGTTTACTTCAGTCCCAGCGGCTGTGGGCCAGGCAGGACTGGAGAAATATTCTCACTACAACAAATGGGAAGATAGTCACTAAGCAATCTAACAACAGAGAAGGCCAAAATTCAGATGGCCAAGGAACAATCCATAGAAAACCAATCTGGAAATTTGTTAGTTTCCTTTCTCCCTGCTCCAGAACCCCCCCTCCCATTATGTTGTGTCAGATCAAGTAATTAAAAATGAGGACATGAGCCCAATGGAGATGGTTCGTGCCTTTAATCCCAGCACTTGGGAAGGAGAAGCAGGCAGACCTCTGTGAGTTCCAGGATGGCCAAGGCTACACAGAGAAACCCTGTCTCAAAAAAAAAAAAATCTTCAAGTTATGGTATATACCTTTAATACCTTTAGTTCCAGCACTGGGGAACCAGAGGTAAGAAGATCTCAATTGAGTTCCAGGCCATCCTGAGCCACAGAGCATGTTCCAGGGCAGTCAGGAATACAAGATGAGACTCCTCAAAAATAAATACATAATAAGGACAAGACTACTCAAAAGTTGCTAAGATTAGATACAGACCTACTTATTCCTCCCTTGAATACACCACCACCACTCTTTCTGAGACAGAACTTGAGGCAATTCTCCTGCCTCAGCCTCCTGAGTACTGGGATTACAGACAGGAAAAATTACACAGCTAAAAATTTTCAACTCATATGTCACAACTTAAAGAGAGCATTTTGATGGTAAACTTGAATGCCTTCTAAGAACAGGCTCTATTTAACTATTGCTTATCAGAACAAAATGAAAAAGGCCTAGGATAAGGACCTGAGCTACATTTGGGGGAACTGAAAGAAAGCCTCAGGGAGACAGGTATGGGATGGAGTGTGCAAAGGGTCTGTCCAGCCAGCTTAGCTGATGTCCCCCAGATCTGAAGCATCAGATCCACTGGACAGGGTCAGAACCCATGATGAAGGCAGGCAGCAGACCAGGTTGGCCAGGAACTTACAAATGTCAGCCTCTACCTCCTAATTACTGGTTCTAAAGACAATGCCCCATTACACAGGGTTAGAGGAAAGTCTGAGATCCTTTTATAAAAACCTCAGTATGCAAGGACAACAGTTACAGGTATCTGCTTGATAATTCAAAGATCTTTTAGACCAAAGGCCTGTGGAGTAGAGGACATGTATGCCAGGGAAGTCACTTGTTGCAAAGTTTGCTGGCAGGTCAATCTAGGATTTTTTCTTTTTTAATTTAGATGAGATAAAAAAATGTATTTTTAAATATTTCATTCAAAATGTTAGATAACACACTGCAATCAAATATAGAAAGCCCTTCTCTCAGTGTTTCAGCACGCCACCTGCAGCCCCTTTTGGGTTACAAGCTGACAGACCCTACTGCCTACCATCCTCAGCTTTCAACTTTTTCCAGGATATGGTCTGTTAAAAGGACTGAAATGCCATTTGAACTCTGACCAGTGGTAGCAGTGCAAAGGAGACACGAAGGGCCCCTTCCTTGGCTGGTGACATTCAGATGGGTTCTGCTAGACACTGTTACTCTCTCCTCATTCCAGTTTCGTGACCTTGTGTATCGGGAATGGTATGGCTATCTGATTGAAGATGGAAGGGTGGGACTCAGCATCAAGGGAGGCCTTTACAAAGGTGAGCAGGGGAACGGGGCGAGACTGGAGGGGTGTGTGGCACCTGCCTTCCACAGCCTTCCCTACCCTGACATCCATTCTGTTCACAGGCTGCTACTACAACCCACAATGCATGGCCATGTGTGAGCAGATTCTGGGAGCCCTGCTCCAACGCACTGAAGACTCTAAATAAATCTGATATGACACTGCCCCACCTGCTTCTGTGGACACTTCTGTGGGCCCTGTGGAAGGGAACAGCTACTCCCCACGCGACCTATTTTGCTTGGCCTTCATGACGGCTTCGAAGGTGCGACCTCTGTGCCACTCCACGGTGCCCATTGGCTCTGGGTGCTCACTGGCTGTGCTGTTCAAAGGCAGATCCCAGCAGCCAGGCTCTTCTGGGGCAGGCAGGTCCCAGCGGCCCACCTCTTCTGCCACCTCCTCCTGGGAGCCTGGCTCCAGTCCCAGCCCTGGCCCCCATCATACTTGCTGTGCTTCTAAGGGGCTACTGAGCCCTCGCATTCACAACCCAGCAGGACCCAGGAGCTCTGCCGCTGTGACGAACATCTTCAATGCTAGTGTGAGCCAGCCTGTCCTCACTTCGTGGGTACCTTGCTGGGTGACCACACGGACCTGGTGCTATGGCCCTGCACATCTGAAGCCACTGGACCTTAAGACTGATGTAACCTGCTTTAGATATCTGGAGATTATAGTATCTGTTCAGTTGGAACCTCCAGCTCACCTCTGCATGATCAGAACAGCTCTCTCTCCTCTTTCTCTCTCTCTCTCTCTCTCTCTCTCTCTCTCTCTCTCTCTCTCTCTCTCTCTCTCACCAAAACCTGCCCTCTCAGAGAATCTCCAAGAAGGAAAAGGAGCCACAAAGCCTGTTCTGCATTCTTGGTAGCTGCTGCAGCTCCTCCCCCGAAGTCGCCAGCAGCCCAAACCCCCACTGAAAGCTTTCAGCTTTTGACCATACTTGGGCACAAACCCAGCTTTTGGCCGACACGTCGTCACTCTTCTTCGCCTACAGGCTATATAAGGTCCCTGCTTTAGTGCAGGCACATGACTTCTCCCGCCTTGATCTCTGGGACTGGAGAACTCACCCGGGAGTTGCTTTGCTCAATTATACCTGCTCTTTTACTTTTTCAATTAGGCTTCATCTGGCCTACTGTCTCAACAGAGAAACCCATTATGATATATGGGGGAGGGGGGGGGCACAAAACAATTTGAACACACAGCTGCTATGACAGGCTTAGAGACCCAGCCACAGCTTCTGACCGGCAACATCTGGACCCAGGAAAAGCCATAAGCTGACTTCACCTAGTGGGTTCTGCATCCAAGAGGAAATACCTGACATTCTAAACATTCCCTACACCCCTAGACAAATGTCAGCCACTCAGGGTACTGAACCCTGAAAATCTCCTCACCCCAACTTCTACTATGATAAAAATCCCACTCTGCCTAGGCTCTGGGCTCTCTGTTCTTGCTGCTGAGTAGGACAGAGAATTCAAGCTCTGAGCTTGACAATAAAGGCTCTTTATTGAGAGCTGTTGGTAGCAAAAGACCATGGAAATATACAGTGACAACTAGAGTTCAGAAGACCAACCTATCAGAATTAAGGCTTCTGTTAAAGGAAACCATCATGCAAAGCATTATGGAATTACTGCCTTTTAAATGAATTGACTGTCTCTTGTTGTAAATAAACTTCTTGTGCAATAACAGCTATGATTCTCCCCATTTACCAGGCATTTCTGTGTTATGTGTACATGTACTCAAGATTGCATCTCAATCTTATAGGCACAACTTCCCCTATATATTTGGGGTGATTGGATAACTTTACCCAGCTGTGTTTATTTTTCATTAACATTCATCTGGCCAGTGCCATTTTCTGGACAAAAGTATTTCAGCTAAGATATGCTGTGGGATGTTCTGTATGTCCTGTGGGAGCCCTTCTTGGGTTCTTTGTGGCGTTACCCAGCAGGTCCGCATAGAGGATGATTAGGACCATGGGCCTGAGTGCAGGTGTCTGAGATGGTCTGCACTTGGCTGTGCTGGGGGATGGTCTGTATGTCAAGT